AGAAAGGGCATGTCGTGAGAGCATGAGACTGTGTGCAGTGCCAGTTATTATCGTGCCAAAGAAGTATCACACCTGGCGGATGTGTGTAGACTGTCGAGCTATCAATCAGATTACAGTTAATTATCGTCATCCAATTCCACGATTAGATGATATGTTTGATGAATTATATGGCTCTATGGTGTTTTCCAAGATTGATTTGAGATCAGGTTATCACCAAATTCGTATGAAGGGGGGAGACGAGTGGAAGACTGCGTTTAAGACCAAGCATGGTTTATACGAATTGATGGTGATGCCCATTGGTTTAACCAATGCTCCTAGCACGTTCATGCGGTTGATGAACCACGTTTTGAGGCCATTCATTGGCAAGGTCGTGGTTGTAAACTTTGATGACATTCTGATATACTCAAAGTGCATGGAGGATCATCTCCATCAATTACGAGAGGTGTTGTCGATGTTGAGGAAGGAGCAATTATATGATGGCCTCAAGAAGTTCTCGTTTTAAGGCTAATAATATTTGAACCCTAAACTTTGCCCCAAACTGTCATTTATAGTACGAATTGGCATAATCTGAATGTTACTAACTAGATGGGGGGGCCATGGCTCCTCCAAGCTATGCACTAGCCAAATTTTCCCTTATTATTTGTGTATTGGCAACCTTTAATTGGCTCTTGAGGTGTTGCAATGGAATGTGACATTTTTATCTTCGATTTTATCGGATCGATTCGAACCATGGAACCACGTACAGCTCGTTTGAATCATTAGGGTCTTGAATTTGGGTGTAATTGGATTTGAATCTTGGACTTGGGCTTGGACTAACATATTTTTTTGATTGTGCAGGCACTTGGTTTCGGCCCCATAGTGATGGTGATGACTCATCTCAAAAGGATTAAGTAGACCAATTCTGATTGAGGCCTCAACCCACCATTTTCTTGTCATGTCCTTTATGTTTGTCTCATGGTATTAGATTTCTACTTTTTTTATAACTTGGCATAAACTTTGATTTTGTATTCATAAAGGAAGGAAAATAAAATATGGGAAAAAAATCGAATTTTTTTTTAGGGAATAAACAAAAAAATTTGTAAGTTCTGATATAATACATAATAGTGATTATTTGGAGGGAAAATTCACCGCGGTAACTAGTAATTGCCCACCTTCCTAATTTGTGATGAAAACAATTATTGTTTCTTATTCGATCTCTTTTCCCATCTTTTTCTCTTTCTTTCTCTTTTCAAAATTGAACATCATTTTCTCATTATTTCAATACTCTCAAATTTTCACTACCTCTATATTTTCCTTTCCCTCCCTAATTTTCACTACCTCTACAAATCCAAGTGATCTTTGACAATGACTTCACTATTAATGCTTGGACCTACGGCTTCCCAAATTGCTAACTCATTAACTCAAAAGTCGAAACCCTAAACTTATTAGACAAATTAGAAAGATCTTCACACATTTGAGACCCGAATACACAGAAAATGAATGAAGTATGTACTGTACAATATTTTTATACGTTTATTACTGAAATGATCATGTTTAACAATTATTAGTCATAACCATTTCCAGCTCCAAAACTTTCTGCATGGGCCACTTTATCTACCTAACATAACCAAATTGCACCACTCTAAGTTATCATTAGCAAACTCTATTCTTTTTCTAATCTTTAGTGTATATATGCACGTTGGATCATCACTGCAGCCAAAAAGAGAAAAGTATACTTGTTAATTCCTATTCCTGCTTAATTAACACACATGTACTTTTGATAAGGAATATTAAAGCTGATACTATAAAGTATAAAGTGCCTTTCTGTTTACTTTTCAGAGTAGATTATTGCTTCTACTCATAATCTTGCAATACTGTAATAATAATTCTTTCTAACCTAATGAAAGATGACACACCTTAAAAAAAAATCCACATCTTACATTTAAATAGTTTTTTTTTAGTGGATAGATTTAATGAGAAGATTATGTTGCTGGTTGTGCATCTTCCGTCTTTGGGTTTGAATTAAGGATAGGAGATGCAATGGGCATTATTATTCGTCGCCCTAAATTTTCTTATTGGTCGCCCTAACTAATTTACATTTACTTTAATGTCCTTAATTCATTAATTTATCTTTCAAACACTTAAACACCTAAAATTCCCTAAAAAAACAATTTTGACGCAGCCAACAAAAATAAAAAATAAAAAGAAACGAAAATATCTTGTGCAGCGGTGGCGTCTTCTTCCTTTGTCGGCGGCGAGCGACGAGGGAAAATCAGGACCTTCCTCTCGACCCTAGCGGCGGCCGGCTTGCTTCCTTTTCCTCCTTCCCTCCGATGGTCGAGTAGCAGCAGCGGGAACAGATTCTATTTTATCTAAACAGCTGCAACAGCCCCGAACCCATTTTCAACGAGTAGCACTAATCTCAAATTAGTAAAAATGAATATATGCTCTGTAGTCAAACATTGGATCTATACGTTGTTTCATCTAATGAGGTTATCGTCTTTCAGTTGTACTAATTTGCAAGCTTTTCCTCTTTCCACAAAATTGTCTTCTTGTTTGCGAGAACTACATAGTCCTCCAATGAAACAACAACAGCGGAGAAGGGGTTGGGGCTGGGTTTTCGGCGGCGGATGTTGGTTGGATGGTGACAAAGGGACAATATCTTGTTTGGCTAGGTTTAAAATTGAAATTGGGTTGAGGGGTAAATATCTCAATTTGTTATGTTTTAGGGCAATAAAATTTTAGTTTTAGGGCGACGAATAGTGATTCAAGATGCAATAGGTAGCCCCTTTTGTAACTCAAAAAAAAATTTGTTTCTTACCTTCATTTTACGGGTAGGAGATATAATATGATATCACATTTTGTAACTCAAATGTTTTTTATTACAATACGGATAGGATTTGATTTTTTTCTTGACGGTATACAATTGTATAACCCTTCATCTTTGCTTTCAGTTAATACGAGTAGAATTAATACAAAAATGTTATCTTATGGAGGAAAAAAAGAGTGCTCTCACACAACTGTCAATAGGGATGGAAAAAAGAATCAATATTTGGATATTATTCAAAGTCATCTTAGTATGGATCAACTCAAATTTGGATAATATTATTTTTCGGGCAGATTCATACGCAACTTTATTCAGACTCATACTCAAAAGAATATAGATATTCGATTCTAGTGCAGTTTTTTGTCGTATTTTTATGTTATAGAACCAACAAAAAGGTGAAAATATCAACATTTAAAGTATAATTGTGTTGAAGGCAGTTAACCAAATGGTCAATATAGCTTGTATATTTGTGTGTACAATTATTTGGGCTCAAATATATCCATTGGAGTCCAACTAAAATAAATTGACCCAAAATGACCCCAACTCAAATGAGTGTGATCGAATACACATATTAAGCTTTTTCAAACCCAGTCACCGATTCGATGATAAATCATAACAATTGGATCAAATTATCTAATTAGGACCCTGTTACTAACCCCTTTTGATTTTATCATAACCCTGTTCTCATATCACGCTTTTGCCTTTTGTGTTATCCTCATACCACGTAATGATGCAAAATGATAACTTGCAAAGGCAAAAAGCAAGATCATGGAGGGAATTCAGGGAGGAGGGAATCCAATCCTAAGATCTAATATCTTTCACGTGTTAATTTGCATAAAATTGAGCAAGATTTAATACATTAGCTATGCTTTGCCCACCTTTTTGTTTATGTGACTGTTTCAACTTTCAATTGAGGCGACAAAACCATTAATTATACTACTTTGCAATCGATCCATCGAAGGGCGATGAGGCCAACCTATAATTAGCTAGCTTATGCTCTCAATTCCCATCACTTTGTTCACTTTCAAATCAGTACGTCAACTTGCTCGACCTCGCACAAATTAAAGAATGTTAACTTGTATTATTAATCATGTGGACTTTAAAGAATTTAGTTAAACTAAATTGGGAGAATCAATTTCCATGTATAATTTTAAAAGAGTCGCATATCCTTACTGTTTATATCAACAAATTATTGCCGAAAAACAGTGACTGAACAAGATGAAATCTACTACAAGGTAAAGCTCATACAAAATATGGATGAAACTAATGCAACAAACGAAAAAAGCATATTTAAGACGACATCAAATATCTATTCAACTTCAATAGGTCAACCTAAATGTCGATGTTCTAGGCTGCTGTTGTGGCAAGGCATTAGGCATCAACCCATGATCATTTGGTATTGAATTCTAGCATTGGCATCTCCTTCTCTCAAGACATACGGGTTATGAACTTCATGATGAACCCAATCAAAAATATGTCAACACAAATTGATGATAATGAGGCAGGACGTGGCTAGCTACTTCAATAGTCATACTTAGGCCGCAATAGGCGCATGTCAAGTTGGATAATATGCATGCAGACATTAGATGGAGCAGATTTACTCATTCTCATTTCTGACATAATTTGGAGAGAAAAAACACAAAAGTAGATCCCAATACAAATTAAAATAAAACGAGAAGAGAATAGGACGAGACGAGACGAGACGAAATGGAGCAAGAAGAAAGAAATACACATGTCCCCCTCACGCCACTGCAAATCGGATAATATCCACTCCAAACAGGTTTGATCACGCAGATCCATTACTATCAACACGTCAACTTTCTACCTAGAGCTATAATTTTTATTAATATGGCAAAGTGTCGATGTCTGCGTTTCTTTTTCCTTTTCAGCTAACGTTTAAACAAATGAAAGTGCACTATTGGGTTTGTCGTCCCCCCAAAATCACTCTCAGCAAAACAAGATTAGTCATTAGAAAACCTTAATCAACCATATGCTCTAAGTGGATCTTACACTTCACCTCGACACAGTTATAAAAATATCAGACATGCCTAAGCAAGATCCGAGTTATGATGCAGTTAATTACGCCATATGCGGGATATTTTCACCTTAATACAAGTTTAAGTTATGGTCACAAAATCTCTTCTATTAATGTGGGATTTTATCTCGTATATAGAGGCCTTCCATATGGCATTACCACAAAATCCGTACATTGGAGTACTATGTTTTCTCTCGTTATGTGTTTTGTTTAATGATGAGGACATCAATGGGCCACTCACACGTGCAAAGGCAAAAGCGTTGAAAGAGAAGCTTGTAACGTACTTGGAGAGCTACTTTGGAGCCATGGACGTGGAGCTGTTTCGAGGGAAGCCATATATGATGATTGTATTTTTCCTTGTTAGAGTCGGATTTGGATTGTATTTGTCTTTTAAAGAGGCTGAACTCGTTGGTTTGGAGGCAGACGATTATTATTGAATTTCAAAGGCTATTGTCGAGTTCCCTTGAGGACTTTTGCCCTAATTACTCTGTTGAGGATTCTGGAGTGTTAGTGCGACTCTTATCAGCTAGGTATTCACCCTAGTTGTGGCGAGCTACCCATATTGATTGCCCTTTATTCCGATTTGAATCTGTCTGATCGATTCATATATTGATTGCCCTTGTTCACGAGTGAGTACTGTCCGATCGATTCCATCCTATCCGGTTCTTTTCGGTTCAAATCAGTGGTGTATTCTTAAGTTTGTAACAAATCTTGATAGTGTTCTTGGTGGTTCTTGGAGATTCATGTGTGAATTCTTGAAGGTCTTGGCGTGTTCTTGAGTTTCTTGAGCCGCAAGATAGAAGGTTGAGATTGGTTCTTGGAAATCTTGTAATCCTTGCATCGCAAGCATGGAGGCCGCGCTGGATGCTATCAAAACCCAGCTGGAGAAGATCGATCGAGCTCAAGAGGAGCAAGCAACGAGGATGGAGGCGGTGGAAGCAAGGCTCCAGCAGCCCGAAGCTAACCCTAACCTTGACCCTAGACCTCGACAAGAAGAAAGGGGAAGGGAAAATCGAGCTCTTCCACCCCTGGTTCATGAACTAAAGCGGCATATGCATCGACATTGACGTCTTGGAATGCCTCGAGCTGAGAGGAAAGGGCGACAGTAGCAACATGAAGAGGTAGAGGTCGAAGAATTTGATGAAGAAGACGATAAGGGTTTTGAAGCGGATAATGATCTTAAAAACCTCAAAGTCACGATTCCACCTTTTCGTGGTACCACAGTCCACAAACCATGATGCCTATTTGGATTGGGAGTGGAAGATGGAATTGGTCTTAGACTGTCACAGTTACTCCGAAAAGAAGAAAGTGGTGTTGGCTACTCTAGAGTTTTCGGATTATGCTCTCGTTTGGTGGGATTGGTTATGCACGAGAAGGAGGAGGAACAGGCAGCATCCCATTGAAACATGGGACGAGATGAAGGGCATAATGAGGGATTGGTATGTGCTAAATTCCCATATGAGAGACATGTATCAAAACCTTCAGCTTCTTCGGCAAGGTACTAAAAGCATAGAAGATTACCATAAGGAGATGGAAGTGTTGATGATACGGGCTGATGTTAGAGAGGATCACGAGGCTACCATTTGTAACATCCCGTTTCGGCTAAAATCGTATTACTGCCGCTAGAAAAATTACGCAATTAAAATCGAGGGTTTTGATAGTATTTCGAAGAAAATCGGATTATCGATCGATCGGATAAGTATATGTATAATTATATATAATACGTATGTAACACCTAAGGCAAATCCCACATCGACAAAGCACGGGAGAGATCCATGGTTCATAAGTAAGAAACATGCCTTAACTGACAAGACGCGTTTTGGGGTGTAACGGAGGAGTTATTGTGAGAACTCCGAAGTTAAACGTGCTCAGTGTGGAGTACAACAAGGATGGGTGACCTTATGGGAAGTCACCTTGAATTGCACCCCGAGTCAAAAATCGTGACGGTTGAGGCCCAAAGCAGACAATATCTTGCTCAAAAAAAGGTTTGGGATGTTACAAGTAGTATCAGAGCCTCTCCGCGTCCCTCTTGAACGATGATGAGGCAAACCTCAACAAGGGAGTTGAGTCCCAGGGGGTGTATGTAACACCTTAGGCAAATCCCACGTCGACAAAGCACGGGAGAGATCCATGGTTCATAAGTAAGAAACCGGCCTTAACTGATAAGACGTGTTTTGGGGTGTAACGGAGGAGTTCTTGTGAGAACTCCGAAGTTAAACGTGCTCAGTGTGGAGTACAATAAGGATGGGTGACCTTATGGGAAGTCACCTTGGATTTCACCCCAAGTCGAAAATGTCGAGCCCAAAGCGGACAAAATCTTGCTCGAAAAAAGGTTCGGGATGTTACACCATTGCTCGTTTTGTATGGTCTCAATCGTGAGATCAAGAACGTGGTGGAAATACAACTGTTCCTTGAGCTTGAGATTTGGTGGATATACCCAGCAAAGTGGAACGGCATCTTCGAAATAGGAGGTTTAAACCCTCCACAAATTCCACGATCTAGCCAGGGTGTTGCAGCCAACCCTAAGCCGCAAATGCCCATGAAAGAAGCTCCAACACCTGCGGTAAAGGCTGATGGCGCAAATCCAGTTATGAAGCAAGGTGGATCATCAGGGGGAATTCAGTGTTTCAAATACCACGGAAGAGGGCATATTGTGAGCCAATGCTCTAATAAGAAGACCTTGATTTTGCTCGACAATGGTGAGTACGTTTCTGAAGAAGTAGGCGAGGAAGCCACCGATTCTGAGATCGATGAATCTATTGAGATGGAAGCACCTCCAGACAGTTTGTTTGTAGCAAGGAGGGTGATGACCGCGCAGCCTCAGGAGGAGAGTGAACAGCGAGAAAATATATTTCATACGAGGTGTGTGGTTGATGGAAAGCTGGTGTCCCTAGTGATCGATGGAGGGAGTTGCACGAATGTGGTGAGTGCGTGCGCAGTGATGAGGCTAGGGCTGCATACGTTGAAGCATCCAATGCCTTATACGTTGCAATGGCTTAATGATCATGGATCCATCAAAGTCACGAAGCAGGCATTGATGAAGTTTGAGATTGGTGGATACAAAGATGAGATTTTATGTGACGTAGTGCCTATGCAATCTGTGCATATGCTTCTTAGCAGACCATGGAAGTTCGATCGACAAGCACAACATGATGGAGTGACTAACAAGTACAAGTTACAACATGGAGGACACAAATTCATGTTGAAGCCTCTGTCTCCAAGTAAAGTCTATCAAGATCAACTCCAAATGCAGCAACATCGAGAGCAGGAAAAGGCAAGCAGTGTCTCGGTTAAGAAAGGAGAAGAAGGATCTGGAGTTGTGGAGTCCAAAGCAGTTATGCTAGCACGAGGTAGTGACATGAAGCAAGTTGCCTATGCGCGATAACCCTTGATCATGATCCTGTCCAAAGGCGTACTACTCAATCAGGAGCTGGTCCAAGAGGTTCCATCAATGGTGTGAGCAGTATTGGAGGAGTTCGATGATGTTTTCCAGAGGAAACACTCCAAGAGGCTGCCTCCTATTCGAGGGATCGAGCATCAGATTGATTTCGTTTCGGGAGCTACAATTCCAAACAAGGCACCATATCGAACGAATCCGGAGGAGTCCAAGGAATTGCAAAGGCAGATCAAGGAGCTCATGGAGAAAGGGCATGTCCGTGAGAGCATGAGGCTGTGTGCAGTGCCAGTTATTATCGTGCCAAAGAAGGATCACACCTGGCGGATGTGTGTAGACTGTCGAGCTATCAATCAGATTACAGTTAATTATCGTCATCCAATTCCACGATTAGATGATATGTTTGATGAATTATATGGCTCTATGGTGTTTTCCAAGATTGATTTGAGATCAGGTTATCACCAAATTCGTATGAAGGAGGGATACAAGTGGAAGAATTCGTTTAAGACCAAGCATGGTTTATACAAATTGATGGTGATGCCCATTGGTTTAACCAATGCTCCTAGCACGTTCAAGCGGTTGATGAACCACGTTTTGAGGCCATTCATTGGCAAGGTCGTGGTTGTAAACTTTGATGACATTCTGATATACTCAAAGTGCATGGAGGATCATCTCAATCATTTACGAGAGGTGTTGTCGATGTTGAGGAAGGAGTAATTATATGATAACCTCAAGAAGTTCTCGTTTTACACTTTTAGTGTTGTTTTTCTTGGTTTTGTGGTGAGTGCAGAGGGAGTCAAGGTGGACGAAGAGAAGGTGAAAGAAATTCGCGATTGGCCTATTCCTACCAACGTGAATGAGGTGCGGAGCTTTCATGGGCTAGCTGGATTCTATCGACGATTTGTGCCGAACTTCACCACCATTGCCGCACCATTGGCATCCATCATCAAGAAGAATGTGACGTTGTATTGGGGCGAGGAGCAGACCAGAGCATTTGAGCTGCTCAAACACAAGCTCACGCACGCTCCTATTCTGATTTTGCCAGATTTCAATAAGATATTCGAGGTGGAGTGCGATGCTTCTGGTTTGGGAGTTGGCGCAGTGTTGATGCAGGAGAAGAAGTCGATTGCATACTTCGGCGAGAAGTTGAGTGGGGCCTCCCTCAACTATCCTATTTACGACAAGGAGCTCTACGCTCTAGTTCGAGCCTTGGAGATGTGGCAGCACTATCTATGGCCGAAGGAGTTCATGATTCATACTGATCATGAATCGTTGAAGTATTTGAAGGCTCAACACAAGCCGAACAAGAGACATGCTCGATGGGTTGAGTTTATTGAGTCATTTCCATACGTGATCAAGTACAAGCAGGGCAAGGAGAATGTAGGTTCTGATACCCTATCTCGCATGCATACATTGATCACTACGATGGGAGCAAGTTATTTGGGATTTGAGCATATTAAGGAGCTCTACGTTGATGATGCTGACTTTAGAGAGATCTATAAGACGTGTGCGAAGCATGGAGATGGGAAGTTTTATCGAATTGATGGCAATATGTTTTGAGCTAATCAATTGTGTATTCCTCGAGCATCACTTTGAGAGTTACTGTTGAAAGAGGCTCATGGAGGAGGCTTAATGGCGCATTTCGTTGTAGACAAGATCTTGGGTTGTCTACAAGAGCACTTCTATTGGCCGCACATGAAGGGAGACGTGGGAAATTTGTGTGCGAGGTGTGTGGAGTGCAAGCAGGACAAGTCGAAGGTGCAATCGTCTAGATTGTACGCACCACTGCCGATTCCATATGCTCCATGGATTGATATTTCTATGGATTTTGTGCTTGGTTTGCCGCGGACAATGAAGGGAAGAGATTTGATTTTCGTGGTGGTGGATCGATTCTCGAAGATGGCACACTTTATCCCATGCCATAAGACAGACGATGCGGTTAACGTGGCTGATTTATTTTTCTGGGAAGTGGTGTGATTGCATGGGATGCCATGTTCCATAGTATCCAATCGAGATACTAAGTTTCTGAGCTTTTTCTGGAAGACGTTGTGGAGAAAACTAGGGACTAAGTTGTTGTTCTCTACCACATGTCATCCTTAAACCGATGGCCAAACAGAGGTGGTCAATCGAACTCTATCCCAGATGCTTCGAGCTATAATTAAGAGCAACATCAAGGTCAATCTCGATGGAGCAAAGAATGCAGAGTTCGTGAAAAGCCTACATGAGAAGGCTAGGTTGAACATCGAGAGGAGAACTGAGCAGATTATGCGAAATGTGAACAAGCACAGGAAGCCGAGGCACTTTGAAGTTGGTAATTGGGTGTGGGTGCACTTGAGGAAGGAGATTTCCCCGGCAAAGGAAATCGAAGTTGCTGCCTCGTTGTGATGGTCCTTTCCGGGTGGTTTCGAATGTGGGAAGCAATGCCTACTAGATCGATTTGCTGGGAGATTATGGAGTAAGTGCAATGTTTAATGTTTTTTACCATGCACCTTATTTGGATGGCAATTAGAAGTTGAGGGTAAATCCTTTTGAAGAAGGAGGGGCTGATGAGGACATCAATGTGCCAGTCATACGTGCAAAGGAAAAAGCGTTGAAAGAGAAGCTTGCAACGTATTTGGAGAGCTACTTTGGAGCCATGGACGTGGAGTTGTTTCGAGGGAAGCCATATATGATGATTCGAGTGCAGGACGAAGGAGGAAGTGCTAAAGAGAAGGCAGATCGCAAGAAGGAGCCTTAAAGGGTTCTTAACGGTTTTGGGCTTAACGAGTTTGTTGGGCTGTTTTTGGGTTCCCTTCGTTTTAATGTCGGTTTAGTATTTTTTTTTTCCTTGTTGGAGTCGGATTTGGATTGTATTTGCCTATTTCAGTGACTGAACTCGTTGGTTTGGAGGTAGACGATTATTATTGAATTTCAGAGGCTATTGCCGAGTTCCCTTGAGGACTTTTGCCCTAATTACTCTGTTGAGGATTCTGGAGTGTTAGTGCGACTCTTATCGGCTAGGTATTCACCCTAGTTGTGGCGAGCTACCCATATTGATTGCCCTTTATTCCGAGTTGAATCTGTCTGGTCAATTCATATATCGATTGCCCTTGTTCACGAGTGAGGATTCTCCGATCAATTCCATCC